AGCTATGGAAGCCAGTATGGTAGTTCTTCAAAATATTAAAAAATAGAATTGCCATATGCTCTAGCAAGCCCACCTCCGTTCATAGATCCAAAAGAGTTGAAAGCAGGGCCTCGAAGAGATATTTGTACACCCCTGTTCACAGCAGTAATTATTCACAGTAGCCAAAAGGTGGAAGGAACCCAAAGGTCCATCAGCGACTGAGTGGAAAAACAGAATGTGGTATATCCATACAACGGAATATTATTCAGCCTGTAAAAGGAGGGAAATTCTGACACCCAGTACGACACAGATGAACGTTGAGGACCTTATCCAAAGTAAAATAGCCAGTCACAAAAAGACAAATACTGTACAATTCCACTTATATGAGGCTAGCCAAATTCACAGAGACAGAAGTAAAATAGAGGTTGCCAGGGGCTGGGACAGGGAGAAATGGGGAGTTGCTTCATGGATACAGTGTTTCTGTTTTACAAGATGAAAAATTAGTGGAGGTTGGTTGCACAACAATGTGAATATATCGCAACAACAATGCTGGACTGGACACTGAAGAATGGTTAAGATGTTATGTTATCTGTATTTTACCACAATTAAAAAAATGTTTAAAGCAACTATAATTAACATTATTTGAGACAAGAACAAGAAGGAGATGCTATAAAAAGGAACAAAACCTTGCTCTTTTAGAAGTGAAAAGTTATGAGAAGAGATATATTAAAAAATCGAATGGAAAGGTTGGAAGATAAATTTGAGGTAATGTCCCAGAACATAGAACAAACATTTTTAAAAATGGAAAATTGGAAAGAACATTTTGAAAAATTAGAAGACCAGCCCAAGAGGTCCAACATCTGACTAAAATAGGTCTAGAAAGACAAAACGAAAACAGAAAACACAATGGAGGGTATTAGCACAAAGAAGTGTCCCTCGAATTGATTCCCAGAGTAAAACAGATTGATTTCCAGATTAAAAGATTCACCAAGTGACCAGAGTAAATGCACATCATTATGAAACTTCAGGCCTCTGGAAGATCCTCAAAGCTCCCGAGAGAGAAATCAGGTCACACGAACAGGATCAGGTATCAGAATGTCATTTCACATTTCAACAGCAATGTGGATTGTGTCTTCAAAATTTGGAGGGAGATTTATTTCCAGCCTAGAATTCTACACCCAGCCAACCTATCACTCAAAGCCACCGGAAAAGAGCTATGCCAAAACAAGGAAATAAACCAATATGGGGGGCGGGGGGGGGGGGGGATGGAAAGCCAAGGGATCCAGAAAACAGGATCCAACACGGCAAAGAGGCAAAGGAAACTCCCCAGGATGGTAGTAGAGAAAAGTCCCAAGACAAGAACTCTGCAGGTCCAAAGAGTCATCAGAACAGACTGGAGCCTGGGGAGGATGCTTCCAGGAGGGATGTCTCTAAGAAACACCTAGAACTGAAAGACCACCTGGTGTGTTCAACCAGGCTGGACCACTGGGAGATGAATTATAAGGAAGTTGTTTTTGTTTTTTTTTTTAATAAGGCACTTACATATTTCTGGAAAAGCCAAACAGTTGTCCAACAAGGTAAATGGAATCCTAACACACTTCAAGGCTCAGCTTTGAATATTTGCAAGATCATAATAATTAAATACTGAATGCTGATGGTACAATATGACCACAAAATGTTCTGGCTTAACAGAAGGAAGGGGGGAAGAGAAATGTGTGTGATGGGTTGCATCGAAGGGCATGAAATCATCTTCCACAGCAGATAGGCAACAAAGTTTTAAAAACTAGAAAATCTGAAGTAGCTGTGTTATTTAAAAACAGAGGCAGGGGCGCTTGGGTGGCTCAGTCAGTTGAGCATCTGACTCTTGATTTCGGCTCAGGTCATGTTCCCAGGATCACAGCATCGAGCCCTGCATGGAGCTCCAAGCTGAGCATGGAGCCTGCTTAAGATTCTCTTTCTCCCTCTGGCCCTCCTTGCCTCGCACGCGCGCTCTCATCCTCTCAAAAAACAATAAACAAACAAATAAATACAGGGAAGCATATGACAGAAATGCCGGCCGGGCGTCCCACTTCAGCTCAGGTCATGATCTCACAACTCTGTGAGTTCGAGCCCCGCGTCAGGCTCCGCGCTGACAGCTCGGAGCCCGGAGCCTGCTTCGGATTCTGTGTCTCCCTCTCTCTCTGCCCCTCCCCCACTCACGCTCTGCCTCTCTCTCTCTCTCTCTCAAAAATAAATAAACATTAAAAAATTTTTTAATAAATTAAAAAATAATAATAATAATAAAATGTGCAAAAGAGGGTCGCCTGAGTGGCTCAATGGGTTGAGCTCTGACTTGGGCTCAGGTCATGATCTCCCAGTTCCTGGGTTCCAGCCCCACATCAGGCCCTGCACTGAGCCTGCTTCGAATTCTCTGTCTCCCTCTCTCTCTGCCCCCCCCCCCAAATAAATAAACATTAAAAATAAAAACAAATGTGTAAGAGTGGTTGTCTTTAGAAGTAAGAATTGAGACTGGGGAAGGGTGGGGCAGGAGATTGATTATCTCTTTCTTTATAAACCTACTATAAGGCAGCTCCTGGACTTTCCAAAATAATACAAGTATCACTATGGTAGAAATAAAAATGATTGAAAAAAGAAAAACAAAATCCAACTGCACACCAGTGCCTAAAGCAGTGATGGCTGATTCTTTTTATCTTTTTTTAATTTTTATTTATTTATTTTGGGGAAGGGCAGAGAGAGAGAGAGAGGGAGACAGAGAATCCCTAGCAGGCTCCAACCATCAGAGCAGAGCCCGATGTGGGGCTCGAACTCACAAACCTCAATATCCTGACCTGAGCTGAAACCAAGAGTGGGACGCTTAACCCACTGAGCCACCCAGGCACCCGGGAGCTCTGGGGAGGGAGGGGAATCTGAATAGACAGGACAGTGGAGCTCTGAGTGCAGCTGACCCCTCTTAAGGAACAAACTTGGAAGAAGCACAGAAGGTCTGAGACCAAGCCGGGGGGGGGGGGGGGTGGGGGGTGCGTAAGGAGGAGTCCTTGAAGTGAGGAGTGGTCTCTGGGGTGGGGAGGTGCCAATGAGGCTAAACGACTTGTGAACAAGGTAACAAAAGGGCTCACAGTATCAAATGCTGCTCTGAGGTCCAGGGGTCTTCACGTAAAAACCAACTATGGCACACTGGGATATCACACAGCCCCGAGGGATCCTCCAGAGAGGATTTCCCAAAGGCGGTGCCACCAGGACCAGGTGAGCAAGCCTAGGGAGGCAGTGGAGGCTCTCTGCCTGTAGCTCCTTGACCTCTTGTTCTCTGGGAGGCAGGAGGTTCAGTGAGCAGATCAAAGGCTTGCAATCCTGAGGACATACTCATACTAAAATATGACTGTTTATCTGAAATTCAAGTTTAACTCTGTGACTCCTACATCTGTATGTGTGAACTCCCAGCAACCTCAAGAGGCTTGGAGGTATCTGTTTTGCACACTGATACCTTGCCACTGGCCACCTCCACCAGCACCCTCCCGACCCCACGTGGACACAGGCCATCCTCGCGCAAGGTGGCGCGGTCCAGAGCGGGGGGTACCCAGGAGACCCAAGGCAGGAGACAGCAGGATTTTTCTATGAGCTACCCTTCAAGTCAAAACCACCCAAAGCCCTTTCTAAACAGGGAGTTGGTTGAGTCAATGTCTCTGTTGGCCCAAGAGACAAATCTAGCACCAGGAAAAGCACTCACATGAAGCTCTCGTTGTGATCCAGAGTCTGTTGTCTTGTGGGGAAATGAGGCCGCCTCTACAGGGTGGGAACAGCGGGAGGCTTCTGTGTCCTTCTTGTGCGATTGTTTACCACAAGCACGTATTACTTTTATAATCTGCAAAAAGCGGTAAAGACATTTCCATATGGAAAATAAAATGAGGCCGTAGTAAACCAGATCATCTGTGAGGCCCCCTCCAAAGCTAAGATTCTGTAATTCTAAGTAATTTCCTGTTCTTTATTTGCATGTCATTTAGGAACATTCAGTGATGCAGTTTAGTTGTGGTGGGGGTTTTTTTAGGGGAGGAGGTCTTGGGGGGATTTTTTTTTTTTTTTTTTTAGCTTTCAATCGCCCCTCCTCCCCGCACAAAGGACTCTGAATCCAGCCACTCACTATTGGTGCCTGCCAGCCCTGAATGCTGCTGGGCTGTGGGACATACAATCTTCCCACTGCCCCCACTCTCCGAGGTCACCTGGTTTGGCCTGGCAGGGCCCAAGCCTCTGGGCTCAATCCTGACCTGCTAGACTCCCCAGATGACCTATTCTGAGCCACGGAAAGAGCCCGGCTGTTGGCTGTGTGACAGCCCAAGGCCATGAGTCTCCTGGGCCCCCATCAGAGCAGACCAGGGATTCTACAGAACTTGTGGCTTAACAATAATCCTGACAGGGGGAGATGTGTCCCCATACCCGAGGACAACTGTCTCTTTCCTAGTACCCTAGAACCCCTGCCTAATAAAAGCCCCCACTGATGGGTCCCGGGGAGGGTGGAAATGTCCCATCTACATGCAGCATATGTGGACTCATAGAAGGGTGAGGACTTGCTTATGGATCACCCAAACCTGTCATGGAGCCCTAGTCCTACCCCTTACCAGCCCTGTGACCTTGGGCAAGTCATATAACTGAGCCTGGGTTATTCCAAGGATTAAATGAGATAATGAATGCAAAACTCCAGGGCTTTGGGGAACCTGATTGGAGTTCACAAACCGGAGTTTTATCTATTTAATCCTCAGAGGGCCCAGAGGCAGCCCTTTGGCCAGAACAGACCCAGAACTTCTCTGGAACGTTCCCCCACCCTCAAGAAGTACCCTCCCTGCTTCAGGCCAGGCGAGGGGCTCAGTGACTGCTCTCCCAGCTCAGGCGCAGCGGCCTGGCCCACGACCTTGGAAGCACCTAGGAGAAAGCTTCACCAAGCGACAGTACTTTTCCACTGCACTGCTCGGCCACCTCAGCAGGCTTTCTGCTGTGCAGACAGGAGGCAAAGTGCGCCAGGCCAGCCCCATCAGGAACCCACCCAAAATCACTCTCCGAGATGGGGGTAGGGACAAGCACTGGCTGAGAAGCAGCTGGAATCCTAGAGAGAGGAGGGGGGTCCCGAAAGTGCCAAGGGGAGCGTGGAGACCACGGGTGAGGTCAGAGAAATTTGCATTCGCAAAGCCCTCCGGTACATTTCAAAAGATCCCTACTTCTTAACCGCCCCTCCACCGTCACCCCTCCAATAATAATGATTAAACCCGTTCCACCGCGCCTGTGCCGGGTCCCGGGCGAAGAGCAGCGCTAGCCGGCGCGGGGGAGGAGAGAGAGGAGGGCGAGGGGAGGGGACAAGAGATCTAGCGGTCCCGCCCGGTGATGTAGACAGCCCGGGGAGGTGGAGCCGCGACGCCTGAAGGAGTCCCCACCGCAATCGCGCTTTCGGTCTACCCCTCCGAGCGTCCAGCCGCCAGCCCCAGCTCCGGCGACCTCCCTGCCGCCGCAGTTTGGGCGGCGGGGACTGCGGGATCCTCCCTGCTCGGGCCTCGGTGGGGGGGGGGGGGCGCCTCCACCACGCCCAGCCCCCTCCCCTCCTGGCTTCCCGGACGGCTGGAGCTACTCCCGGGGGAAGCTGTTCCCGGACGCTCGGCCGCCGCCCGGGCATCTCGGCTGCCAGCCCGGCTGGGCACCGGGCATCTGCGAAGCCAGCCCTGCCTGGCACTGGGCATCTCCGGGCACCGACTGGCTCCGGCGCCGCCCAGCTGCTCGCGACCCCCGGGGCCGCGGGCTTCTCCGCGCTCCCTCCCCTCCCCCCGGCCGCCGGGCAGGACGCCCGTGAGCTCCCGGTGCCCCCAGCCCCTTTGGCCGCCGCCGCCGCCGCCGCCGCGATGCTGCCCTGGAGACGCAACAAATTCGTGCTAGTGGAGGACGAGGCCAAGTGCAAGGCGAAGAGCCTGAGTCCGGGACTCGCCTACACGTCGCTGCTCTCCAGCTTCCTGCGCTCCTGCCCGGACCTGCTACCCGACTGGCCGCTGGAGCGCCTGGGCCGCGTGTTCCGCAGCCGGCGCCAGAAAGTGGAGCTCAACAAGGAGGACCCGACCTACACCGTGTGGTACCTGGGCAACGCCGTCACCCTGCACGCCAAGGGCGACGGCTGCACCGACGACGCCGTGGGCAAAATCTGGGCGCGCTGCGGGCCGGGCGGGGGCACCAAGATGAAGCTGACGCTGGGGCCGCACGGCATCCGCATGCAGCCGTGCGAGCGCAGCGCCGCGGGGGGCTCGGGGGGCTCCGGGGGCCGCCGGCCGGCGCACGCCTACCTGCTGCCGCGCATCACCTACTGCACCGCGGACGGGCGCCACCCGCGCGTCTTCGCCTGGGTTTACCGCCACCAGGCGCGCCACAAGGCCGTGGTGCTGCGCTGCCACGCCGTGCTGCTGGCGCGGGCGCACAAGGCGCGCGCCCTGGCCCGCCTGCTCCGCCAGACCGCGCTGGCGGCCTTCAGCGACTTCAAGCGGCTGCAGCGCCAGAGCGACGCGCGCCACGTGCGCCAGCAGCACCTCCGTGCAGGGGGCGCCGCCGCCTCGGTGCCCCGCGCCCCGCTGCGCCGGCTGCTCAACGCCAAGTGCGCCTACCGGCCGCCGCCCGGCGAGCGCGGCCGTGGGGCCCCGCGCCTCAGCAGCATCCAGGAAGAGGACGAGGAGGAGGAGGACGGAGACGCGGAGGAGCGCGAGCGGCCCGAGGTGCTCAGCCTGGCCCGGGAGCTGAGGACGTGCAGCCTGCGGGGCGCCCCGGCGCCGCCGCCGCCGCCGGCGCAGCCCCGCCGCTGGAAGGCGGGCCCCAGGG